TCTCCCCAGTTAATCATAGCCTGGGTAAGCTGGAAATGCTTTTAATTGTTTCTCTGTGTGTGCTGACTCCTCTTTATATATATAATTACATTGAAAATGAAAACATACTGTAAAAGAGAGCTGTATTAGGAGAAGACTGTTGGGCTGGCTTCCCATAATAGTGCTGGGTTAATAATTACTGTTTCTATAACTGTTGAGCTTCTAGCAAAGAATAATATGGTTGGGTGTGTAGGAATAGCATTTATAAAGTAGTTTACAGGATATTAGCCTATCCATAGTGGTGCCTGGACTTGCTGTCTCTCTTGTATGGGTGCTGCTCTTCTCATGTTCGGTTTCATCTGCAACCACAACACAATTGTTGCTCCCACATGAGTCGCCCACCTGCTTTGATCGGGTGCCATTGCTGTGTGTCTGTGTAAATGCCTCTGGAAGATCAGATTCCCTTGGGTTTGTCTAAGGAATGGTGACAGGATGTGACAGGGAAATGCTGTTCAGAATGCTGAGTAAGTAATTAGGGGAGGTGAAAAGGGGAAGCAGCGCAGGAAAAGCTGAAGATGCACAGGGAAGATACTGAGCTCTAGGAGGGGAGAGTAAAAGGAGCTTATTGCTACCTTTAGGTAAAGGGTGTAAGACACAGTGTAATACAAAGGAACATAATTTTCATATCAATATATTTTTTCCTTTGTGTGGTTCGGTGTCTGATAGTTTTATCTTTTTCTTTAACATTGCCAAAATGTTTGCAAGTTATAGGCAACAGGAATGTCTCGGCGTCTGGCTCTCGCAGTATCATCAGCTTAATCATTTTGTCGAGCAAAATGCAAGTACTGAACTTCATGAGCTGTGGTCAGATTAGATCACCCCTTCTTCCCCTCCTCCTTTCCTTGTGTGGAATATTGAAATCCATTTTGTTTAATGGAGTAGGTAAAAATGACAGCAAGCAAAATATCATTTGAGTAGTTTGCAGAGTCTAATGCTGTCATTTCTGGAAGAGACGAATAGCAGGGCAGATAGATTTCAGCCTCAAATTTTGTTTAAACTTATTTTTTAATTATTTTTTTTAGACTTGCAACCGGTTACTTACTCGGAGCCTGCGTTTTGGTGTTCAATAGCATATTACGAATTGAATCAAAGAGTGGGAGAAACCTTCCATGCATCACAGCCTTCCCTGACCGTAGATGGCTTTACAGATCCATCAAATTCAGAACGATTTTGCCTAGGTCTGCTGTCTAATGTAAACAGAAATGCTACAGTGGAAATGACAAGGCGACACATAGGTAAAAAAAGCTCTGATCTTTTCATTATTTAATTTCATTTTAGCTATTAAATGATCAGGAGTGATCCAGGTAGGATGGGCAGATCTGTGTTTTGGGATGCCTTCACCCTTGTGAAGCCAGGTGTTGAACTCCTCTCTCAAGGTTTGCTAAGGAGAGCTTGGTCTCTCTTGCTAAGGACAGAAGTGGAAAGACACCGAGGTCACTGCTTCTGAAATCGGGGAGAAATGGAGCAGCTTCTGCTACCACAGCTGGAAAGAGATGCAGTGATGGCTGGAGCTGTTCTCTTCTTCTGCCTTCTGGAAAAAGGCAATGCACTGAAGCATCTTGAGGGGCAGGTTTTTGGCTTTCAGGCTCCTCGTTGGACCACTCTGCCCTGGCCAGCATTTATATTCAGAGTTGCTTATAGTTTTTTAATTAATAAAGCTTTAATTACAAAATGTTAACGTGTGGCTTAGTTTATTCTGATTTATAAAATGCAGAGTCTACATTTGTAGGACTTGTTGAATTCTTTGATAAACTTGTTTTTTTTCTGGACTCTTACTTGAAAACATTCACAAGTTTTTTATTTTACTTTTAGTAAAAAAGCTCAGCCTCTTTAGTTGAACTTTTCAGGTGAAATCAAAACTTGTAAGTTGAAAAGTTCAAACCTGATTCCCTCTATGCCACATCCAAATGCTTGTCTAATAAAATTGTAGTTGTGCAGAAACCCAGGCTATGCCTGTGCTGACTGATCAAAATGGTCAGTGAAGAGGAAAAGCAAAAATACAAGGAGCAGTCACTTTTTTCATAGAACAGCTCACAGTTTGTTTGAAGAATAGTTTTAAAGATAAAGGAGAAGAGAAACAATGGCCTTTAAGGGACCTGTTAATTATAAATAGTTTTCACTGGGAGATCAATAGTACATTAATTCTCTTGCGCTAGAAATAACCAATACAGATTTTTTTTTTCCAACGCGGAGAATAAGATCACAATTTCAAAGTGAACAATAGGATTTATATGGGTATTTTACTGTAATTAGGGATAAATGAAGTCCTGTTGTTCTTGTCCAGGAAGTACAGAGAAGGGGTATGCAGTGGGTTGTGAAACTGTGGGCGCATGTAAGTGGAAAGTGTTGAAGCAGTGTACTTGTGTTCTCCTCCTTTGCCATTAGTGGCCTGAGTCACTTCGCATACAGCGCTTACATCAGCACATGTTTTAATTCTGTCAAAGCTAATATTTTTATTTCAGTTTTGGTATTTCTTTAAGCGAAAAAGTTATTTGGTAATTGAACACTGCCTTCTAACTTGGATTTGATTATAAGCCATTGCATGGCTAGAAAATTCTGTCTCGCTCGTGACCAAAAATTATCCTGCTTCTTCAAATATTGCGTGTCTGGGGGAGAAAAATGCAAGTTAATTGTGTTCTGCTCCTGCTGCAGCTGTCAGCCCAGCAGCGTGGTCCTGTAGATAAGTGATTTCTGTTTCTGTTGTAGAGAAAAAACCTTGGTCTTCTCTGAAACAAAATGCTCCGTTGTTTGTTAATCTGCTTGGGTCATATCGTAAGTAGAGTTCCTTTGAATTTTGCTACAGGAAGGGGAGTACGTCTCTATTACATCGGTGGAGAAGTTTTTGCTGAGTGCCTAAGTGATAGCGCGATTTTTGTTCAGAGCCCCAACTGTAATCAAAGATATGGCTGGCATCCTGCAACCGTGTGCAAAATTCCACCAGGTTAGTAGCCTGCCAAAGGTTTCGCGTAAAAAAATATCCAGTGAATGTGCTAACTGGATGACATTTGCTTTCCTTTTGATAGTTTCGTCATATTTTTGGGCTTCTGTGTAGCAAACACAAGTATTTTGACTTTTTTTCTTTATAGGATGCAATCTAAAAATCTTTAATAACCAAGAATTTGCTGCTCTTCTGGCTCAATCTGTGAATCAGGGTTTTGAAGCAGTTTATCAGCTTACTAGAATGTGTACCATAAGAATGAGCTTTGTTAAAGGATGGGGAGCTGAATACAGGTAAGAAAAGAAAGAAACCCTTTACTTTTAAACATAGTCGTTTTGTTCTATGTCCTCGTCCATGTGCAGTATAATGAGTTTATTAGGTTGTGGTGTGGGATGCAGTTGCTACTAGTGCCTGATGAGAAGAGCTGAAGAATAAGACGACTGCAAAACACACATTTAAGGGGTGGCAATATTTTGGAACTTGCAGTGGAAAAAACTCTGCAGGAGTAAGATGACTGTGTTTATGTAGTGAAACTGCTAAAGCCAGTTTTTTGAGTGGCAAAAATAGTCTTTTATCTACTTTTTAATAGATTCCAATTGTATTCTGTACTTAGCACAAGCTAAGAACTATAGTTGAGGACAGTGCCTGTTTTTAATGTAGTGTGGGAATTTGGGAAGAAAAGGAATTGACTTCTAACTGAGCAGCATTAAAGACTTCATTATTTTGGAGAGCTAGAGATCTAGAGATGGGGTTTTAAACAAATCCCGTAAGCCTCTCTAGAAATCGTCCACTGAAAGAATAGAAGTCTGACATACCAGTACCCTATTGCAATACGTAATGATTTTTTAAAAAAATCCTTATTATTTCTGAAGTTGAATAATGCCATACAGAACTGTGAATCATGGGATTTAGATTCTTTTATCTGCTCTTGAAATATATACATGTAAATAGTAGCGTCAGTACGTGGGGGAAGCTTGTCAGCTAAATGAAGCCAATTTTGTGAAAGCCTAGTTAGATGAAATGAGAAATTTGAGTAATGGAATAAATTGGTACCTCTTTGTTAGCAAGAGATACACAAGAAAGAATCTGGCTCAAGTTTAAAGAACTGTTGGATTTGGCTCAAAAGGAGTTTGTATACACTTAACTACAACATTCAAATAATAAGAGAAGTAAGGCTTAATCAGTCAGATTATATAGAGCCAGCTTGAAGTGAATGGAGTGGAAGTGCTGGGTTAAAACAGTGGGGAAACTTTTGGTAAAGTTATTTCTAAGGAGGGAGAATGTTGGTTGTTCATTGTCTGTAAACCCTTCAGAGATCATAGGGTTGAAAAAGCTCCAGTGGAAACTCTGCCAGAACAGCACAGAAGCTGATAACTGACATAATGCTGAACTAGTTTCTTCACATCTCTGTTACAAATGGTGCTAATAAATGATTATTATGATAACAAATATTCCAGAATTATTATTATTATAGATGGTGCATAATATTATTATTATAATTCTTAATTATTACTAAACTTGTAAGTTTTGCTGCAGTTGTGATTAAAGCAAAAAGAGGTTGCTCCCACAAACACAATGTCGAATCTAAATGAAGGTAGTTTGAGTTGTCAAAATCGGACCAGGAAGCTCTGTAAAATCCATCATTCTTGTTAAAACCTCCTGCGCTTCATTATTACGTCAAAAACATTTCTCATTATCAGGTTTTGGCAGAGCCAAAGCATTATATACGTTTTAGGCATATGGCATATGCCCATAAACGTGCAGCTGTGGCAAGGTGGTAGAATTTTATAAGGTTGGTAGGCAAAATAGGTTGTAGGTTTTTGCTTGAGATGTGTTGGTTTGAATTGAGGATGGTTGTAGAAGCTCAGATCAGCAGACGAGCATTCACACTAACGCTATCAGGTCTAGGATCCTCTTCAGAAGAGAGTTAAGCAGAGGTAATTAGATGATTTTATCAACTTTTCCAGCACAGCACAGAGCCAGGGCTGTTGAGCAGAACCAGTCACAACATTTTGAGGAAGTGTTGTGGAACGCGTTGCAGGGGAGTTGACAGCGGTGGAATAATGAACTTCCTTCTTTGGGAGACTAAGTGGAATTATGTTTCCTGTGGTTTAGAGTGTTCTCTTATTGGATCACTTTGTTTTGGCGTAGGCATTCAGGTCTAAGATAACAGTGTTTTTTAGAGTGCTGCAAGAGTGCAGACCCCGGCCACTTTTTTCTAGAAAATACGAAACCACAGACAGCTTTTGAAATCCATCCACTCACTGCTTTAATCTTTCTGCCTTTTCAGTTCTTCTGCTAATATAAACAGATTTCCTTAAAGTGAAGGGTTGCAGTGCCGACAGTAAAAAATGAAGGGGCTGGGTTTGTTTGACTAATCTGCTGCCTTTGAATCTTAACGCCTCCTTGCTTTGACTTTGGGATAGCTGGAATTACTAGGAAAAACTGGCTTAGCAACAGTAGTCTTGCCAGTCTAGTTTGGGAAAGCTCCCATGCCTGGAGTGGGTACAGTGAAATAACAGGATTTCTCAGGCAGAGTACATCCAATTCCAGTTTCTTTACTTTGGAGATGAGAAGGAAGTTTTTCGTGTAACATGTCTCTGAAACAAGGTTATGGGAGAGAGTGAGTGAAGCTTTTACGGCTGTCAACCCTTTGGCTTTACTGAGGCTTTTTCTGCGGTGTTTAATCAAGGGCTTCTGTTGTGGAAAATCATAGGCAAGTTTACGTAGAAGACAAGGGAAGCACAATTTTTACTTAACTTGTTTGTGAGAGGATGTCACAGTACAGAACACATGTAGGAGTTACAGGAAATCGGAGATGAAGTTTGGCGTTCCTTTGAGATAGCATCAGTTAGCGCACTGTAACCACATACTGCGTTTTGACGTAGTCTTTCTGACAACATCTCGCCGTTTCCTTGCACATTTATCATGCTAATTCCTCCAGGAAGCAAGACCTTACGATTGCAATAGTACGATGCTGTTTGGCCACGCTGACAGTGCAGAGCAAAGTGTTTCTGTTCTATATTTCTCAACAATTGTCTACAAAATTCAAACCCAGTTACGGATGCAGACTCCTTGAAGGTTGTGGTACAGCTGCACGCAGCTATCTGATGCGAACACCACAGTGGCTGGACAATCTTCAGTTTTGAGTTTCTTTTTAGAAGTAAGGCTTTTGGTGTGGCACTTGACACAAACGTTGCAGCTCTTACTCTCTAGAGCCAGAGTACTGTTGATGTATTATGGATAAGCACATAATTATTGATGTGTCTTACAAATGTGGCCTGTGCAGGGTTTGATTTTCTTTTTGTTTGGGTTTTTCTTTTCTCTTCAGAGTCTCTGAGAAAAAAGCTTAGTAACAGTTATGGTAATGTTTGCAGACTTTTATCTTTCTGTGTAGTACATATGGATGGAAACATACTTGATCGTATGATGGAGAACTTCCAGGCAGCCGAAGCTGCTGTTTGACTTTCCTATTATTATTTTCTAGGCGGCAAACAGTAACAAGCACTCCTTGCTGGATTGAACTTCATCTGAACGGACCTCTACAGTGGTTGGACAAAGTATTGACTCAGATGGGCTCCCCTTCAGTACGCTGCTCCAGCATGTCGTAAACCTCCTTCCTCCGTTACCAGTGGGCTAAATACAGAGTCCAATCAACAGACTTAATATAACAGCGCGTCTGTCGTAGTATTTGTGTGTGGTCCCCATGAACTGTTTACTATCCGAAAAGGTTTTTAAAAAAAAAAAGATGGAAAAAAAAAAAGAAAAACAGCACTTGAGGTCTCATCAATTAAAGCACCTTGTGGATTCTGTTTCCTATACTCTGATACTAGATGAAAATTTAGTGTATAGAAATGCCTTCTTCAGAAAGAAGGGACAGTTCTAAAGACTCTTAATGGTGTTTTTATTGGGTATATAATTGAGTGTCCTAATGGTTTATCAATAACATGAATAGCTAAGTATATGTACAGGTAATGTATCATGATCTCAGATATCACAGTATTGTGCTGTTCTTCATTTTAGTTCCCATACATAGTTGTTTGTTTTTTAATTGGGGCAAATCTCTCATAAATTTCAAGACTCTCCTCCTTTATTATTTTCTATTTTTCATATAAGCAGGTTTTCAAGTTGTCCTAAACATGAAAAGCAGACTTTCCTTGTAGAAAAGCTTAACTTTTTGCTGCCTTCTTAAAGAAAAAAAAAATCCCTCCATTGGAAGGAAAAGAAATGTCTTGAGATTCATCTGTGAAATCTTAAGACACTTTATATGCTTAATGGGGCCTAAAATGAATTCATATTATAAATTCTGAGTATCCATCACACTAGGAGTCTACTTTTCCCTACCCATCTGAGCTGATGTATCTGTTGCCAGCAGTGTTGCTGGCACTAGTGTAATTTGGGATTTTTTTTTTTACCTGGAATCATTGAAATTGGTGGTTTTTCTCATGGAATGAGAATTTACCATAGCATTGGATACTGGTTTAAACCAGTACATGAGGTTATTGGCTTACCCTTTACATCTGTACTTTTCTTAATTAAACGGATGTCACTAAAAAATGGGGTTTTTTTAGTTTGTGGAGCCAAATACCTTGGAAAATCCTTTCCCAGGGTAAACTAGACTCTTTCGTATAGGTTTTAAATAGATGCAGCTTCTTAACGTATTTCAGTAACAGAATGTAAATTTCTGATCTTGAGTGGCTTTGTACAGCTCATGTACCAGATCGTACGCATTCATTATGTCATTAACGGGCCTTGTTATTAAAAGTAGTTGCTTCTGCAAAACCTCTAGGATAGTGGTTGCTGAGGTATGACCAGCGAAGGAGGACTTCTAGGTTCTTCATGACAGTGCATGTTATTGTGAACCGTTGGACACTACAGCTGCACCATATTAAAAATATTTCTGAAGTATATTCTACAAATAAGTCTGGGTTGGGGAAGGGTTGGGAAACTGTATAGGAGGGTTATTCTGACTTGAAAAATATACATCTTACTAACAATCTTGTGATCTAGCTGTCTGTCATTCTTCTGTTATCGTGGCAGTAGCAGGATTGCCTTTGTTGTTCCCATTGTTTCATCCATTACACTAGCACTGTACTTTGTAAGTACTGCTAGTGATAACTTAGCTTTGAGAACAAAAATGTGGCCAGTGTTACAGCTTTTAATCAGTCGACTGAATTGATGATAGCGGTGGATATTTTTATGCCATAATGGCTAGGTTATAGGAGCAATACCAAAAATCAAGCCTTGAAAATGTGGGCCAGACACCTTAAAAAGAAAATAATAAATTGGCAAAGCAGTTACCAGTTTGTGCTAGTTTTACCAGTAGACTAATGTATTGGTAGAACTTGTGAACCTAAGAGATAAGCTTCATGCGTGTTGCATTTGCCTAATATGTGAATACACTAATAAAAGTTTTAATTCTCATGACGGTTGTTCTTTTTATTCCTTGCTGTAGTAACTTTCTGTTGAAGGTTAGGAATCCTTCTAACCCACCCAAATAAATGGCATTAAGTGTCCTGCATGTTGTGGCCAGAAGGGGATAGTCCAGATGTTAAAATCACTTCTCGTGCAGCTGTCGCGGAGGCTCTGGATTTGTGTGTGTTTAGTGACCCAGGCTTCTACTCCAGATCCAGTTTATTAAAGCAGTTGCCTTTTTTTCTACCGCAATCAGATTAATCCTGCTAGCTCAGATGTTTGCTTTCACCTGCAAAACGATGAGATAAGAGAGACTTGTCTGGGTGAAAGACTGCGTTGCGTTTACGAGCAGGTTGCAACTTGACTCAGAGGGGTGACCTAATTCTGGAGTCTTCTGACTGGGTTTCTCTGTGTGTTGGTTCGGTGTTGTGATATTACTTGCTTGCCCTTGAACACTGTAATAATCTTGACTGTACCCTGTTTTTGGTGTGCACTTCCAAGTAGTGTACAAGGACACTGCTGGTTTTTGAGGACCTGTGGTGCTGCCTGTGTAGAAGTAACTTTACTTCTCTCAGTACTGTTAAAATACTCTCTGCTTCCATCACTGATTTAACTACAGCTTAGTGGAACAAGGGAATTTATCTGCATTTGAAATGTTCGCTTGCCTATGTTTTATTTAAATGTCTTTGGCAGTTCTTGAATAACTTTAACCTACTCCTGTTTCTTAATCCAGTGCCTTTCTGATTTATCCCGCTGCCGTTCTGCTCTTCCTCAAAATCCAGCCAGTGCCTGCTCAAGTATCTCAATGAGGGATGCCTGTGGTGCATAAGGAATTCATCCCTTTTCTGCCAAAGTAAAAATGAAAAGTGAATTAACGTCAAATCCCTGGATTTTTACATCTTTAAACTGTGAGAATTCGTAGTAGAGCATCACCTCTGTGTATTTCCCACTTCCTTTTGTGCATATTTCCTATCTAGATGGTAAGCTCTCTGCAAATGGGCATTCTCTGCTGTTACTTGAGCGTCTTGCACAGTGTCCTTTGGCTTCCTGGCGCTGCTACACAAATCTAGAAGGTGGTGAGAGCTGTGGTGTTTGCTTGTTCTTATTCAGGACATTGTTTAATCAGAACTTAACCTGTTTGAGACTGTTTGCAAGCAAAGAGCATACAGAGTAACTTCAGACTTGCTGTGTAATCAGCAGGGAGAAGTGAAGTCTGAATCTGGAGCTCTGAATTGCTCTGGTAGAGGCTGAGGTGCTGAATTTAAATGCATGAAGTAGGTATGAATATCTGCTTTAAAAGGTTCTTGGGTGCTATCAAAGTAGTCAGAGGTTTAAGAATAATAGCTTTTGAAGTTACACAGTAAAGACTAGAAATCGCAACTACCGTACGTCACTTAAGCTTTTTATTTTCATGTGTCCAACTTTTCATGTTGAAGTGGGAGGGTGTGAGGTTTTGGGGGTTCGATAATCATCTGCAGCTCTAAATTGTTGGCGCAGCAAACCGTAAGTGTTTTGTTTTAACCTTCAAACTTGTCATGCTTCGTTGTGGTTACAGCTTTTTTTAGCATAGCAAACTGAAATTTTACTGCAGCTGGGTTTCGAGTTAAAATATTGTGAAATACAGGATTTCACTATACTCCACCCACACAGTGTTTTACTTGAGTATGAAGCAGTGTTCCTTTTACCAAAACAAGTCTGAATGTAACCTAATTCTGGGGACACTGAAGTTTCAGTGCTAGCTCTGAAGAGTCAGTGAAGTACTGAATTACACATCACAAGTAATGTGCCTGCTGCGTTGGAAAGTGCTTGTAGCAGGGCCTGCTTGGGGAATTAAATTGCAGCTGGTCTGAAAGTTTATTACTCTTGAGAAAATATGAATGAAATGTGCATTTTCTTGATCACTTAAGCTTAGCTAGTAAATAGCCATCATAAGCTGTATTTAAAGGAGGACATTTAAAAATAACTTTTGGTTGTGTTGGTCCTCTTTTTCCGTAGCTCGCTTCTGTAAAGATTTCTCCAAGGCTGCTGATTTTTCTCTTGGGAAAGCACGGTTTGGGGAGTGATGACTTTCTAGCCCTAGATTGTCACAGCTATGGAAAGTGGAACCAAGGCTTCAAAGCAGAGAACAGCCTTTGATGTTACATTAGCTGGTGTTCCATTGACTGTAATCAGGGTTAAATCTAGTTATTGCCAGAAAGAAGGAACAACATAATGACAAATAATGTCTATGTAAAGATGTCAGACCTTGATCCTTGCCCCCCATGTTTCAGGTTTTGTCAGAATGGGTTGCGGTAAAGCCCAGCTACTTCTTCTGTTCCTTTTGGAGTAGGATCCAAAGTTGCAGTGAATACTTTTTGGGGGTTTTTTGTTTGTTGTTTTTTTTTTTTTAATTTGCAGCAGTTGAAGCTGAGACAAAGCTTCAGTCGCTCTCGATTTTTCTGTTAACAGCATCTACCTATTTGCTCCTCTAAAGCTGTAGTAAGTAAGTAGTGTCGTAAGGAACTTGTGTGCCTCATGAATTATTTGAGCTTATGAGCAATGTGCACCTGAGGCTGCAAATTCCATTTGGTTTTTTAAAACCTCTCTTTGCTTTAAAGTCTTGCTTACTTACCTTCTCATTTTGAAGTAAAAATCCAAGACCAACTGTTGTGGTACCGAGCATAGAAAAATATTAAACTGTTCAGACTGCTGTCCAAGATGGAGAAAGGACTTCAGAATTAGTTGCCATGTATTCAGTCTGCTGAACAGCAAAGACCATTGACTTTGGAAGAGGAGGATCTGGAAATAATTAGATTTGTAGTGGGGAACAAATTAAGTTGTCTTTTGGGTGAGGGCTGTCCTGTGTCCGAGCGGTCTCAGAAGTGCAGGAGGATGCTGGGCACCGGGGCAGACTGGATTGGGAAGGACTGGAGAGCATCCACCTCCAGACTGGACCAACCTAACAGGATCCTGGTTTGCAGAAGAGTTGCAGGTACAGCACTGAGATGTGCGTTAATTTGCCAACATAAACCCTCTGTCCTCTTCTTGTAGTTAAGCCTTGTGAATGATAACATTAATTTAGGAACAATAATCCCTTTCTAGACGAGTGCGCTGTCTTTTCTCTTACAGCTTCAGAAGTCTGCGAGCCCAATGGGAGGAGAAACCACAGCTATTAGCAACGCTGATGGCAGCACTGATGCGAGGGGAAAATATCTTCATAATGTGCTCAGACTTTGAGGTTTGTGCAGGGTATGAAATCAAAGTGGGCAGCGAGCCAGGGCTGGGAAATACTGAGGTTTAGCAGAACAGGAAAAGCAGTGGAGCTGGAAAAAAGAGCGGCTGCTGCTCAGCTGCAGTGATGTGGGGTCACTAAAGCACCCTTACCTGAACGCTCTTGATATGCATCTGCTGGTTAATGATCATAAAATGAGTTTTCCTTCTGTTCCAGCACTGAAAGAGTTGTAGGAGCGCAGGAGCAGGTTTAATTTTGCATCTCTGTTGTCAAAGCTGAGGCTCAGCCTAGGCCCTTGGGAAGGCTGAAGAACTGACACAACTGGTCCTGCAGCCTGGCACTGGGTGGAAGAGACTGTTACCTGGCCACGAGGAGAGGCGATCTTGCAAATAAATACATGATAATAACAATTAAAAGTGCGAAACCTCTGTGGGAAGAGGCTTGCTGTAATGTCTATGTGAATTTTGACTGTGAAGAAGACAATTTTGCTGCTTTGCTTTAATGGGAATGCTTGGACGGTCCTTGGGAGTGTTCAGGTGCTCCTCAGCAAATGGTACATCTCATCCTGTGGTCTTGAGGTATTTTTGTTGTCAGGTTTTGGGAGGGGATTTATATATTTTTTTTTTTTAGGGACTTAGCAGAGTCTGACTTACTGAAATTGCAAGGCTTTTTTTTGTCTCCTGATTTCGTTCCAAAAAACACTTAAATCCTAAGTCAGTGAATTTTGCATGATAAGCAGCAGCCGTGCTTGTTAAACACAGTGAAAATACTCTGTTCTTCTGAGACCCCAAGGAAGAACATTAAAGAGGATTTTTTTTTTCCAAAAGGCTTATTTGCCAATAGCAGGAAGTCATATTAGAAGTGAGGAGGAAAAAAACAGCTCCTAAGTTATCTACTGAAAGAAAGAGGGGAGGTGGGAAAGGAAATTGGTGTGTAACAGTTGAAATACTTTTGTTTGGCTTGAGAGCACTGGGTTGAAACTTGCCTGGCTGATGGATCAAGCCCTAGTTGAAGTTAGAGACCTAATTCTAAGTGTAGGACACTCGATCACAAATGTGTGTTGTATTTGTAGTTTGCCCTCTCCAGGAGGAGACTGCGAAGCTGTGGGGTCTGTTTGTACCCAGTGCTTCCCCTCCTGAGAGCCAAGACACTTCAATGAGCAGGAGTGATTTATACACTATATTATATATGGGGAGGATGAGCAGGATTTGGGGAATATCTGACTGAGGGTAAGCAGAGATGCTTCTCCTCCTGCCTTTCCCCTCCCTGTGCTGTGTGCTGTCAAAAGATCTGGGTATGTTTAGAAGAACTAATGTGCTGTTAATTAGCGCTGCAGTAGGTAGCACTGGCCATGCCAATTGCTAATTGGGACTGCTGTGTCCAACTGGGTGGCTCACAAAATAAAGACAGGTGGCAATGGATTAACTGGGTTTTTTTAAATGTCATTCATTCAGGAGCTGGCTTGAGCTCCTGTCTGCTTCTAGAGGCTGCTGATAAGCTGAATTTCACAGAATCCCAGAATGTGAGGAGTTGGAAGGGACCTGGAAAGCTCCCCCAGTGCAACCCCTGCCACAGCAGGATCACCAGAGCAGTCCCACAGGAACACGGCCAGGGCTTTGGGGGTCTCCACACAAGGACACTCCACAACCTCTCTGGGCAGCCTGGGCCATGCTCCAGAACCCTCACACTCACAAACTTTGGCCTCATCTTCAGCTTGAACCTCCTGTGCTCCAGCTTGGGACCATTGCCCCTTGTCCTGGCATTGGACAGCCCAGAGCAGAGCCTGGCTCCTTCCTCC